CTCCAGTGATCCTTCCGCTCAGCCTTCCAAGTAGCTGGAACTACAGGCACGCACTACCACACCCGGCTAAATTTTTTTATTTGTTGTAGAGATGAGGTCTCGACTGCCCAGGCGGGTCTCGAACCCGCGGGCTCAGGCAATTCACTCACCTCAGCCTCCCAAAGGCGCAGGATTACAGGCTGAGCGACTGAGCTCGGTTAATTTTTTTAATTTATTGTGGAGACTAAGTCTCGCCATGTTGCCCAGGCTGGTCTCGAACCCATGGGCTCAAGAAATCCTCTCACTTCAGCCTCCCAAAGTGCTGGGATTACAGGCTTGAGCCACCACGCCCCTGCTGACATTCACTTTTAAAATAGAACAGATTCAGAATAGAGGGAGAATACCACACAGTATCTAATGATAGCTTCAGGGGCAATAAAAAGTCAAGAGTCTTTGTCGAAAAAAATCATCATAAAATGACAATGTCTTCAGAATTAGGATAATGGCTTAACCAAATACTACTTCGTTGGACAGAAATCTATCTTTTTACATTACTCTGTGGAATTATCAAGTTAAACTTAGATAAATGATAAATGTCTCTTTCACAAAATAAGGGAAAAGATAAGAAATTCATGCAAATAAAATAAATATCTCTCTCTATTCCCCCAATTGCCAATTCAAAATATACATTAAAGTTAATAGAAGCAATTTACACCCGTTGCAGGAATACAAAAAGATTATCCTCATTATATATACAAGATGCTTTAGCCTGTTGGATAAATTAGACAATAATATTACACTCAGACAACATAGAATCTTTAGAAAATATGAAGAAGGAAATCCCACTACAATAGTATATCTGTGAAGGAATAAGAGAAAAACTATTTTATAGTGAAGTCACTCAGAGTAATTTATATCACACACTTAAGGCTAATATAGGTCTGTCAAAAGATTCACCATTAGACGAGTATGCTAATATTAATTTGAATCTGAAATCAGACTGCAACATTAAATATGTCATGAGCTAGTAAAATGTGCACACCATACACATTTCACAACTAGTAAACAAATATTTGTCAAGTGCCTTAGCCTAAGACAACATACTGTGAGGGACAGTTTTTTTTTTACAGTCTAACACATATAAAACAGAAATAATTAAGTGCTAATTGTCTAGAACTAAAGATAAGTAGACATGGGAGCAAGTTTATATGATTCGGGCTTTGAAAGTTGGACAAAATATTTACAAGAGTAGGCAAGAAGGAATAGTCTAGGCAGGAAGGATAACATGAAGGAAAATAGGTGTAAAGGGTGCCATTTTTTAGGAGTAGTGAGGAATCTGTGGTTCTTATATAGAGGATAAATAATGGAGAGCAATGGGACAAATTATTTCAGTTTTTGGAGGACCTTTCAATTGAACAAGAGGAGTAGGAACTTAGGTAAGTTCTTCAGCAGGGGAACAGTACAGATGTTCAAGTCACAATTCTACAGAAAAAAGGAGTGGTCTAGGAAAATGAAGTGATTTCACCGCCAAGTTCCAAATCTATGGCTAGCCAGCTATGACTTAAAATGCTTCATTGCCACACCAGGATAAAGGACAACCTCAGAATAACATACTAAGTACTTTAGACTTATTCTTCTCTACCTGCTACTTTATGATGTACTCTCCATCTGAAACCCAGCACATCTGAGAGTAAAGTAAGTCTATGCTCATGTTTATATTTGTAGCGGTAGTGTGTATCTTATATATTATTGGGTATAGCTAGCAATTCATAAACATAGCTTTAATGAAAGACTAAGAATATTAATAGAATAGTCAACAAGGCCAAGGTTGAGGAAGACAAACTTAGAAAAAGCTACTAACTCGAGTAGTATTCAGCAGGACAGTTTTAGGGGTGAGGTGGAAAAGTCAGATTGCAAGGGATAAGCAAAGGGACTGCTGATAGGATATGATCAAGGTAGTGGATATAGAGTAAAGATTTAATGACTAGGATTGAAAAGCAGACATTAACAAGACATACTGCACTAATCAAAGGCTTCACTCAACACTCAATCATTCTTTTTTCTTTTATTGTTATTTTATTGTACCTAATCCTGAATTGTACCCCAGCATTCATTCTTTCACTTCATACTTTCGGAAGCTTATTGGAATCAGGCCCTGTTCTAGGTCTTGGGTTAACAAGTCCAAGGGACTTTCAAAGAGTTCATTATATAATGCTACAGAAAGACATTAACAAAAATGAAAAATAGGAGAAAAACATGCTAATAAAGATATCTAAAAAAATTTCTCAGGAACAAAGAGTAAGAAGACACTTTTATCATTGTTTTAAAGATCAACTTAAAAGAAAAGGTTTACAAATTTTTAGCTTAAAGGAATAAATCTATATCTTATTTTGCCTTTCTAATAGAAAATAAAGGATAAGATGAGACATGTATAACAATAACATCAGAAGGTAGTAAAATCAGGGTGCTAATTTAGATAAGAAATCTCAATCACTGATGTATATAAATAGTATACATTTAAGAAACAAGAAGTCAAATATACAAAGTAGTATAATGATCCTTTCTTACCTGTTCTACTGTAAAAATCTTTTGTTATAAATAAATGTTATAAATGTCAATAAATGTTTGTTGAATGAACAAAGGAAATATATTGATTCCCAAATCCAGGAGATAGAGAAAAATATAGCCCTAGGGTCTGAGGAAAAATAATTTTGGCGGGGACTCATAGTACTTCAGAAAGTAGCCAAATACTGGGGTCTTTGGCTTTCACTATTCTGTTCAGTCTTATGTTGATTAGGCTAGCCGGCTAGACTTGATAACTTTGAGAATGAATCTGTAGACACTTCCTTGTGGTTATAGTAACCTTAAATTTCCAGGC